ACTTACGTAAGATCTCGTTTTCAAGGGGTAAATGGGAATCAAACACAAAACTTTAAGGATCAGACATTGTCTGTCCCGCGCCAGGATTAAAAAAAAAACGCGCGTGCTGCTGACGACCGACCTAGAAATTGATAAGCGAGGGAATTCTCATGGGCACAGAAAGAGAGCATCAATAGCAGACCGGCTACCTGGAGCGCTGTGGTGCGTTCCGTAGGGTTCAGTCGGGAAGGCCGAAGATTGGCTTCCTGCCAGGAGTGTTCAGTGGGTGAGCGCTGGCGGCTCTCAATTGGTGGACACACTTCCGAGACAGTGAAGCCCATTGGGTTCATAGGTACGTCTGATTGCGGTCGGCACCATCTTCTCTAAATGGCAGGAGTTAAACCATTCATATTCTTGTCTTAAATGATAATGATGAAAATGATAGCAAACATCAAATTAAATAAATGGGCAAGAAATAGGGTTCATTTCACACTCCCAGGTTCCTCTTGACTACCTCCTTGTTTATTTGCATCTCAATCAGAGTCGGGTTCAGGATGTTATCAAGGAAGGGGCCACACTTCATTGTGGTGCCTCCCCCCCCCCCCCCAATCAAGACGTCCCCGGATTTCGGCCATTTCATTTTCGTATTCTTATTTTTCAATCCATGAAATACGTTCTGCCGTAGTCGCGCACCCACTTCAGTCAACTTTATTTCTAGAAGTCGATTTCCTTTTATTTTTGTGCTAAACCTGAGGACTTTGAGCCGCTTGTGGTGCCCACAGCCTTGACGCGTCTTGAAGACAAAAGATGTGAGGACCCGGAATGGGAATTTTGTTGCCCTTTCACCTCTAGGTTTTCGTGCCCCTTCGGCCCAAGGGAGCATGGTCCCATGCCCATCCCTCTGTGGGCCGAACGGGCACCAAATAAAGGTTGTGTGGCCCGAAATGAAGATTTGCATAGATAAGACAGCAGCATTAGCCTTATTCTTCTGAAAAACCGGGGAATAGAGATAAAGTTAGGTTGATATTTCGGCAACATGCCTTTTTCGAACGGCTGGCAATGGCTTTTTGTTTGATCCCCTGAATGCTGGTGTCTTATCTGTGTAAATAATGTTCCTCGCTAATGCACTGACCAGTTTACGAAATGATAATTTTGGTGCCTCTTCATCGCGATAATTTTGGTGCTCCTTTGGTCCAAGGGGGATGGTGCCCTCACTTTGGATCCGCCACTGACTCCAACCCATGTTTATCCATGTCATTTTGTATCGTCAGACGTTTGTTCAGTCGCACCTTTATTCACGTCAAATTTTTCCCAATTTCGACTTACCCGCCGCAAGGCTAATCACTGTCGATTTTGCGTTCTTTAAAGCGTTTTCCAATGTTGAATTCCTGTCAAGTTTTATCCATTTCGATCTTTTGCGATTTTACCTTTATCCCTGTAAACTTGTGTCCCATTTGACTTTTTGCCCTCGAACTTTTTCCAATTCTACCCTTGTCCCTGTCGGCTTTTCTGCTTTTTTAATTTTTTTACCCTGTCGCTTTCCTCCGATTCGACTCGCATCCCTTTCCACTTTTATCCGTTTCGATACTTTAATTCCACATATGGCGTATGACATAGCTGTGTTTCATTTTCAGCCATCATGCTGCTGAATGCTGAAAGTCCACGACGTCACGTGCTCTTGACCTATTCATGCTTGTGCCTCAACGTCATGCAGTCAGCTACGCACCAGATAATATATTGATACCAATGCAACTCCACCCTCCTGTCTCAATCAAATTGCTTTGATCGCGCGTTGCTAGCCTGTTGAATGTCTCTTCACATGTCAGATATCTGCCTTGCAACGACGTGATGTGCACAACACGAGGGCAGGCGGTGAGGGTGAGGGCATTCACCAATCCAACTATTGCACCCTACAGCGGTTGGTCAGCTGCAAACAGAAACAGACATGGCCGCCAGCGCAACGGCACACTATTGCCTCAACTGAAGAGTTTTCGCCCCGTTTAGCGGCGACCGTCGGCTGCCGGTCCAGTGGTAGAGACGCATATCCGCCGCGCAGAGAAGTACCAGCGCAAACTCGCGACTTCAGCGTCTGCAGGAAGTCTGCGGCAAACGAGCGGCAGGCATTAAACGCGTGAAAAGACCCGGATGTTTGCAGTGACGAATCTTTTGGACCGCAAGTAATTGGCGCTCAGCAAACAGGCAAATGAACGCGGGCATTTTGCCGACGAAAGCGGAGGGGTTGCTGCAACGAAAGTTTTTGACCGGTTGGGACAAAACTATTGTGAAATGTGCAAATATTTTGGGTGCATATTGGGCACTGTAAATCTGACTGTATTAATCTGTCTGTCTGTATTAATTTTGTAGCCCCAGCATGCTTGTGTTAGGGACCGGCGGGCTTTTAATAGAGCCCGTTTTCGAACACCTCAACATCAGTCGTTTTACGGTTGATTGTTGGCGTTTCTGTGGGTCCGACATTGTTAGGCTGATCGGGTGATTCGTTGACAGAACATACACCTTCACGCTCCAGTCGGTTTCGAGCAGTCGTTTGCTCTGGTCGCTGAATCCCCAAGACTCCTCACCGTCGGTGTGCTGTTTGTGCACGAGCGCACGTGCGCAGCCGAACACATCAATTATCACTATTGCCCACGCGATTGTCATTCTTTTCCCAGTGTAAATGTGTTAATTCTTTTTGGCTGTGAGCCCTCGTCGTCGCTGAACTGTGAGGCGGGTTTCAACACGCGTTTCGGCGTTTATTTTAAAACAAATTTCGCGTTCTAAAGTCGAACCATCGCGATGCCTATGTTTGCACGTGCCGATGGCGCTCCGCTTGTGGGATCCGGTCCGACGCCCGATGCAATAACGCAGCCCTGCTGGCCTGGCAGCACGCCCACTTTGCGTGGCCAGCTGCTACCGTCACCGAGCCGTGGCTGCACATGTGCATGACTGCAGAACAAACATCTCGGAAACAACAACGTAGATTTTCGGATAGCAGACGTCAACTGGTGTCACACAAATGCCTCTTAAAACAAGGTCCTCAGAACTTATTCGTTTGTTTCTGATGCTGCCTTGAGCGTTATAAGCGCATACAGCTGCCCTCGCCCCAATCAGTTCTAAATGGCCGCATGCCAGTTGTTAAAACATTATGTACAAAACACGGCCCCTGGAGGTCGTCCAATTGTCTGGCGTTGAAAGCATTGTATAAAAAGACGTTATACTGTCCGTCCTCCAAGGCCTATCTTGCTGCATCGGCACATAAACTGAGTGCTGAGTGTTCAGGACATTGGTTAATTGAAAGCCTGCATGCCGACAAAGCCGCGTCGCACGGTAAGTTGATGTCGAGGCGCCATTTGACACCGGTCTGTGGCGACGTCCATGGGCTTACCAATCCCACGCACCCACAAAACGGGCGTTTCGTACGGACTTTATAGCTCCACGAGCGTAACACCAGCAGGTTTCAAATCGATGTAAAAGTATTGCCAGCGTGGAACATAACCACTTGCACTGTGCCGCACCCAGGTGTCATTAAACAACCGGTAAACGTCTGAGGAGGGCCTTCAAACAAGGCGTGCCATTCCTCCGCCTCCGGGCGCCCCGTGCTGGACGGCACGCGGTCCTGACGTGTAATTGTCCCGAGAATGCGCTAGAAGTGGGCGTCCCAGACCGGACGTCACGCCATGGTGACGCGCGCTCACGGCCGGCGCAGTTACGAACCCCGGCCGTCTGCGGGGGGCGGTTCGTGAGCTTTAACCGCGGGCCGTTCGATCCTCGTCATCACTCCGGCGCCCAGGCCGATCCGATGGACAAGCGTCGCAGCCTGACTCAGCCCCTGGCCTGGGACCAGACGTAGAGTAGAGGCTCCGTCGACCGACTGAAGCACGTGGCTCACGTGAAGCCGAGGCAGCTGAGGCAAATCAGCCGCACCGTCTGTAGAGGCGTCGGCAGTGTAATCATGGGCAGCGGCTGAAATCCCAAGCGTCAAGGCGGAAGCAAGGCGACGCAATGACAAGGTCGCACCGTCTGCACGACAAGCTGCCCTGCGCGCAGTCAGCGGCGGCGGACAATGCCTCTCGGACACGGTGAGGTCGCGCCCCTTGTCCATCAACCCGTCTCCGCCCAAGCCAATCACAGCGCGAGGCGGACCGCCGACGAATCTGTAGCAGCCGGCGCGCGCCAAGGTCATGGGGTCACGCACGCGCTGCTCTCCGACCCGGACGCGGTCTGCATCAAGGAGCCGCCGCCGCCGCGAGGGGCGGCCGCAGGGTCGGACCACCGCGGCGGTCCATGTGACGCGGCGCTGATAGATCGGGCGCGGAGGCAGCACGGATACGGATACGCGGATACGGATCGCAGCTGGGGGCGACACGTGCCATCACTTTAATGATGGCGCAAAAATTACTGGGCCCGAAGCGGAGCGAGCGCTTTTGATACAGTCATGGGTGAGGTAAGCGTCCAAGATAGAGGAGGGGTAAGCAGAATTGAGGGCCAAATTGCAGTCCGAAGATACCCTGAACTGAAAGTGACATTTCTGAACCGGACAACCCGAAAAACATGCATTGTACGCACAAAATTCGGGATACCCGTTCCATTTTGAGAAAATTGGGAAGCGTGAACCCTCCAGCTTGCAACCTGCTGTCATGTCAATTAGTACGCCGAATCTACAGGAGTGGTTTCGAACTGAATTAAGTATTTTAGACTGCCATGGTTATAATGCAGGTTCAGGAAGATGCCCCGTGCAGATGCAGCGTAAATTGCGAATCATGTAACGCTCGATCTATTGATTGAGCGTTACATGATTACACGTCACATGATCACACGTCGGTTTTTCATCAAGTCACAGGCGCCATAGTCTTCTCGCCACTGTAAGCCCGGGATCCAGCCGCAGTGAACGGTGGCCCACGCTGGCCCTGGTCACGTTTGCTCCACCGTTCCCAGGCCATGTAGATCTGGCCACTTCCGAAAACCATTTCTGGACCACTTGCCGAGACCTTGGGAGCGTCACAGACTTACGTAGGCGTCTGCTTTATTGTGCAGAAGCCGGCACACTCCGTGGCTCACGAGGCATAATCACATTTACGTGAGAACCGCAGAGCCGCTTAGCCAGCGTGAACGGCGGCTCTCATGCGTACCGACTCCAGAAGCCCAGCACCCGAAGGAAGAGACGGACGGGCGGCCGAATCGAGCCTGGATGTGACAATGGACACGTGTATATGGACAATAGCTTGAATGCAATGTGACGCACCCTGTCTCCCGGACGGGGCACAGCGCTGAGTGAATCCAGCCGCCCCAGTCATCGACCATTCAGCACAAAGCGATGCACCTTGTCTCCTGGACGAGGGCACTTTCTATAGAGCGAATCCAGTCACCCCAGTTATCATGGCCGCTTAGGTCCTTGCATCAGCACAGGATTTAAATGCGCCGGTATCCACGTGGCCGCAAATCCTTGCGTGATGCGTTGATCATCCAGTCTACGTGGCAGCAAGAGGTTTGCCGCACTGAACCGCATCTTCTGATCAGGTGCGCACCATCCGGCCGCTGGGAGATGCAGCACGACCAAGTGCGGGCAGGACATGTGAGCGTGCGTCATGTGCGTGCCCAGCGTACAGCGAAAACCACGCACCTGTTTCCTGACACACATCGCCGGCGCATGAGCACACCTCACTGCCACGGCACCAACTGGCCCTGACCTACACAGAGCTGTCCTGTCTGGTGAACTGGACTAGCCGAGCCATGCCAACCGACAAGAGCCACGCACTGGAAGTGACCGACAGTGACGGGGCAGACGCTGAAAAGCGGCACGCAGCTGTCCAACCGCCCCACATAAACCACTGCACTGGTAATACCTCAACTGCTCTTTCGTTATGTGCGAGAGCGAATAAAGGGATGGGTCATGTTCACGATAGCATATGACAAGCCAGGGGCTCACAAGTGGACCACTGAAGAACCCCCAGCTCTTCACGAACGCCAGTGAGGAACGATCGCAAGCGACGCACACGCACGCGGATAGCCGGAGCTCCCAGGCGTCCACGGGGCACGAGGCGCTCGAATGAAGATGCGTCGACGATGGCGTTTGAAGACCGGGTCGGCTGCCAGGTCTGGCTTCCCTCCGGTCTGCCAGCGCCAGCGCACGGAAGGCAGTGTCTGTCGTGCTGCGCCACCCGGCGCAAGCCCAACTGCCATCTATATCCGTTGTCGGAGAAGCTCTTCGTACTGAAACAAACAAATACGGGATGTTTTTGGTCGCTTTTGACAACCGAGAAACGATGACAGAGCGGAAATCTTTAATATCGGTTCAGAGAGGGTATCCAAAAGGGGAAGGAAAACATCTGATCGGATGTCTTTCCGAAGTGGTCTGGTAAAACGAGTTCTCACAAAGCATACGTCGTTGCAAAGACCAGACCCAAACTCCGGAAGAGCACGTCCATTTCGATTTGTTGAAATATGTATACGGTACGTCATGTGATGGCACTGTCGCCTCGCGCCAGCCTCCTTGGTCCGCTGCTGGCCGATAGCCACTGACGTCTCACGCAAGCGCCATCTCTGGGATATGAACCCACATGTTGGCTCCACAATAGCCCGATCTCCGCCGCTTTGCAAATTGAAGCACCCATGGCAACAACACACAGACAGCAAATTGCAACCACCAATTAGGTAACAACCACATTGATTACAACATCCAGGCACGACAATGTACAGCCGAACTAGCCTTAAAAACAGGCTAGCGACACCACACTGACGCCACCTGTCGGCAGCGTCTATCGGCTGCACTTCACACACCTGCCGCCGGTAGTCGGCCTCCATGTTGGCGAGATCATCGACCATGGCGCGGAAACGCTGGCGCAGCGCCTGGTTGTCGATGCCGGCCATTTCGGCCTCCTGCGCCTCGCGCTGCGCCTGCACGTCCGAGATGCGCCTCTGCAGCTGCTCCAGCTGCTCATCCACGTCCGATGGCGAGTCGGCTACCGGCGCACGGCCAGGGTCGCGTCAGAGGCGACGGCGCACGGCCAGGGTCAGCGAGAGGATCCGGGGCAAAACCTATTTATTGCCGGGGTTAGTCTTGCCGATCCTGTGTAAGACCCACTTCAATGCACACAGGGTGGAAAGAGCCGCGAAATGTGTCACGATCACGCGCGGTTGCCGACAGCTAGGGGCCTGTCTTCAGCATCAGACGGGACCAAAGACCTCTGAAAATAGCAGAGATCAAAGCTAAAACCAGAAGAAAAGACACCACTGATCCACCCAGTCTAAACTGACTGACTTGGACAGGCGACACTCCACATCCGTTCCACTCACAGTACTCGCGTTTGATGGAGAGCGACGGCGACGGCGTGGACTTGGCCGGCGATGCCGTGTGCGGGAACATGCTGCTGTCGAACTCTGTCTTCACTTGGTTCTGGTCCGCCGTGGTGTCCTGAGGCGAACAGGGGCTCGGTCCAGCGGCGCCGCCCCCTCACGGGCAGAGCACAGATGTGCCACGGCGCGATGTTAAGTAGGGAGCGGAAAGAAAGCAGCGAGGGCTGAAGTCATTGTGGGGCGCTAAGAGATCGATGCCGGGCTTCGTGGGAAACGGTCGTTGCGTTATTGTGGGCGGCCACGTACCGTTACGACCAAGAAGATATCTGTTCATTACCGCCGTCCCGTAGCGTCGCAACAAGCGGGAGTGAACAGCACAGGTAACTGAGAGCATCCGGCACCACGGCGGACTGACCATGGTGTTGGACATGTTGGTGGACTCGCCGCCCGAGAACTTGGACTCGGACATGGCCGAGTCCTCCGGGTCATCGAGCCGGTTGAAGCTGCGGTCGGCCTCCTCGTCGCTGTCGCTCAGCTCCTCCCCGAATATGTCATGCTCGCCTGTCGGCCAGCAGGCGACCGTCACGCACGCACACACGCATGAACAGTCAGGGTTTCTAAGTTCTAAGTCATCTCAGCAGCACGTCAGGGCCCCGTGGAAGAGCCGAGGGGAGCTTAATGGGGTTTACTTCATGAGGAATACGTTCGTCATGCTCTGCATGGCGTCAATACCGATGACAACGGGTGTCATTGTGCCGTGGCGAATACGACCGTAACTCACTGCGTCATCATACAGCCACTGCGGTGCTGGGCAAATCACAAGTAAAAGACCTAATACCAGCCGGCGCCTTCCGGGTTTGGCCCTGACCGCGACAAGGCAAGGCCCTAAGAGCACGCCGGGGCGTGGGCATGACGCGTACCGAGCTCCTCCTTGATGGTGGCAAGGGTCGAGCCGCCCGCCTCGTCCTTCTTCTTCTCTTCGTCCACCACCTCGTGGCGCACGTGCACCGCCTCGTTGTCCATGCGCAGCAGACGCTTCACCTCCTTCTCGATCTCGGGCACCTCCACGAACTGGCCGGACGGGGCTCCGCGTGAGAACGAGCGGCGCCATCACACTCGGGCACCTCCACAAACTGGCCGGACGGGGCGCCGCGTGAGAACGAGCGGCGCAATCACACTCGGGCACCTCCACGAACTGGCCGAACGGGGCGCCGCGTGAGACCGAGCGGCGCCATCACACTTGGATAACAACTCCAACCAACTGTGCAATAGTGCTGTATGGAGATGGAAAGATCGAAAAGGGCCTTCGCGTGACCTGTTTGACTTGGGGGGTTATCACAGGCAGACATACACTGAGCTTTGGCACGCTATCGAAGAGAAGCAAAACTTCCAACTAGTTGGCCACAAGAACAACAGATATCAGTAGTTCAGTTGTTAAGCCACGTGTCTGAGAAACCCGAAGTAAGGGGCTCGATTCCCCGCGGTGCCAGCTCTTCATGCCAGGGTGAGAGGTGAACAACGCCACATAGCCTTAGCAGCCGAGTGCACCACAAAGCTGCAATTGCAAATAAAAATAGGTACTGCTTTGACGTAATGCAGCTCATGCCCGAAGAAATCAAGGAGGGGGAAAACGCCAAAGAAGAGCGAAATTTCATGTTAATACCAGCAATGATTCATGATAATCAGTTTCCAAAAATCGCTCTGATGTGCCAGCCGACGAGGGCGGAAAGGCCGCCGTCACATTCTCCGAGCGCTATAAGTTACCAAAAATTATCTGTCAACTAACTACTGACTACTATAAACCAACTAAGGTCGAAGTCATCGGCACAAGGCCCTCCATGGCATGCACGCGGCTGGGAAAGAGCTGCCAGGCAACAGGAGCATCACCTTTTTCTTCAGCGTGCGTCGGAAGCGTCGCTTGCGGACGTTCTTCAAGGGCGGCGTCAGGCCGTGGGGGTACAGGTACTTCTTCTCCACCTTACTCGGGTCCCGGCGCTTCTTGTTGGGCGATTCCTCGTCGGAGGCGTCGTCGTCCTCCTTGCAAAACATCATCTGCAAGCAGGGAGGCATGTAGCAAGACCGACAATACTGCTAGTAACAAAATTAGCTGGCATGTGGGATGCTTTTCTATTAAACATGGCACAGAACAGCATGACAGGCGCAGAGACAGGCATAAAAAACGGCACAAAACTGACAGAAGGTTGGATGCAGCCACCAAAAAGGATGACAGGGGAGGGAGCAAAACACCCATGCCTGCAGCGCTGTAAAAATGCTGGCAAGATCTCCCTTTACATTTAATTGTAATGTAGCTGGAGTGATATTCGAACCCCCACATAAGATGTGGCCTTGGCTGACGACAAGGCACTGCGCCGTGGCTAGAAAAGGTTTATGACGTACCTGGTGCGCTCACGCCAACCTCCCTTGACACGGTTATGATTTAACAATTTTGAAATTGGATGATGCCATTTAATGCACTTGCCACAAACTTTTCAGCATTTTCCACCATTGTACTAAGTGAACAAGATGATCACGATCGTTATTCCCTAACAAGAAGGTGATAAGTGCCTCACATGATTAATGAAGATGCGTAACAACGCTATGTCTACATCACACCTGGGCCAAGTGTTTTGGATAAAATCTGGCTCCACATAATTCTACCACTAACTTGCACGATTACTGCATGGGCCCTTGACAATGTATATGGCATTGTCACATAGCACATGCAGAGTATGCAAAATCCGTACGTAGAAATCCAGAAAACGCAATCGTCTTCAACGGAAAATGGATGACGCAAACTGAAGTGCTGCGCGGATCCTGCATAAGTGGACATACCTGACAGATATCTGCCGTTTTGTAGAAGTTTTTGCCGTCGATAGTTTTATATGATTCTGTCATGGTTGGCACATCGACAATCTGAAACAGAATCATGGGTATTGGTCATTCAAAAAAGGCTACCACCAGCAATCAGCAAAACACTTGCTAATTGAGTGTCTCCTTCACCTAAACCACTTGCATGACAATTCATCTAGTCCAGGCAACTATTCGATCGGCCTGGTGACACAGGCCAGTTGACCATTCTCTACTCAGCATATGGCCTTGGCCCGCGGAACATTTCTGAAGATATTGCTTGGAAGCACGCATATATGAACTAACCAACCAACCTAATGATCTCTCCCTTCTCATATCCTCATCAAGTGAACACACTCGGACCCTCAGCCGACTCCCACCCGCGGCATGTCCTCCGACAGCGACGTCGGCCCTCTCCACCGGCTGTGTCAGCTCGGCCGGCTGGTGAAGGTCGCCTCACCTTGGCCGGCAGGTACCAGTTGTCGAAGCGCACCGTGCCGCGCCGCATGTCCGACTCCATGCTGATGAACAGGCGGTCCTTGATGTTGGACATGCCCTCGCGGATGGCGTGTCGCAGGCTCTGGGCCGGCACCTGCCGACGGCGGACACCGCCCGTAGTGAGCCGACACGTCACTCCCGCGGGTCACGGCTGGTGCTGGCTGCATGATTCCGCAGCGGGTCTGTTGATTCCATGTGACGTGCGTGGCCGACTGTTCAGTGTGAGCCCAACCCCGCGCCAGCCCCTATTTCGGAGTCACCTCGTCCAGGCTGATAGGCAAGGAGGCGGGTGCTACGGCCAGACTAGCTGGGATACAAGTTCCTCATGTACCTGGGGTATACAGGTTACCTTTCCCCTTTCTTTGAAGTGTTTTTTCTAGTGACCAGAGTTGACCCTCTTCACACCCACACATCTGGCCTTTGGATCAATACAAAACAGTGGCACACATAGTCATTATTTCACTGAGCAAATGTCCTGTGTAAAGTATATACATATACCATCCATCCCATTATCATGTCACATCCTAAAGAAATTATTGTCAAGTTGGTTGTGTTTCATGCCAAGGCATTCAATCTGGATGGACAAGTGTAGCAAGTGTAATGGAAAAGTCCAGCTGAACTACACACAAAGTGTACAAAGCTGTACTTAAAAACTAGTGATTATTCACTTTCCTTTTTTCCAATTTCCACACATTTCCTTTCAAGACACAAGCAATGGGCAGCAATCAAAAGCAAAACAGCTGTTGATAACACATGGAACTTACTGGTGGGAGGCGGAGAACAAACTGATTCTCTAGCTCCACTGGAGGCTCGGACCCGGGTGGACGGTTGCTCTTATTCATCCTGGAAGCTGTCAAATCATCACAATCAGTGCTGCACTTAGGAACTATATTTGCCTTGTGTAATGGATCTGTAAAAATTTCCTGGCATGCCACATCACCCAATTGTTTGGCTTGTAACATAAGTCAAGTGCAATCATGTAAAAGAAGTTACATTCATGTTTGTGCCTGTAGCACAGCTGACCAGTTAAAGCCACCTGGCTCCTAGCCCATCCGTGGGACAAAGGGGAGATGACACCATGAGGAAGTGGGGAACACAGGTAGTGATCAACATGAGCACATGGGACAAAAACAATGGGCTGTATATGTGTCCTAGGCCACCACTTTGAAGGCAACAAAAGGGACTAGGAGCTACAATGTGCCGCATTCCTGCACTAGTCAATTTCCTATGTCATAAAACAATGCACTTTACATATACTACATAGCAATTAATAATGCATAATTAAACACAGACTTAAACAATAACACCAATGTAGAGTAACACTGAAGAAATTATTGTTCAAACACCAAGCCACAGAAACCAGTTTGGCTTATAATTACACAATTCTTTTGGGGTTAAATTTTTTCAGGTTGCACAGTATATGTTATCTACAGGGGAAGGTTCAACACTCATTGTGAGCATTTTGTGACCTGACACTAGGGCATAGCACTGTGAAGTTAAGGCAGGGGTAAAGATTCACCATAAAATATGCTAGATATATACCATATGGAAGGCTCTCAATTCACCCCCTGAGAGGGATGGCCTATGGCCAGTCACAGTGGCTGCTCAATGTCAAATATGGTAAAGGGCAGGGCAGACAGTGCTGATCACTGTGGCAGATTCAACTGTTGCCACCAAATGATGCTGCTTAGCCAGGATTTGGTGATCATATGGTGAGGCCAGGGCAGGGGTGTAGCTTCCTCTTCAGTTGAGGACTCTCCATCTAGACTGAGAAGTCTGGGCCAAATCCAGAGAGAAGCCTGGTTTTCAATGCATTGGGGGGACAGGTTTGGATATTTTTCACTGCTCTCCCCCCCCCCCCCCCCAACTTATTCAGTAAACCCACACCTCCGGGCTATGGTTCACACATCTGCTGATAATCACCAGCTCTGGTATCATAAATCCCCTCAATCAAACAGGTGTGGACAAAAAAGAAGATGCTGCTGGCAGTATAATGAAACCTGATATCCCAAAAAAGCAGAGTGAAACCTGAATATTTTGTTTTAAAATTTGTGTGACACTAGGAACTGAGCTACTATAACTTTTGAAACACCACCTTATTTTAATACACTGCTACATGACTGCCTGATTGTCCTATGCCATCCTAGCTTTTAGGAAGTCCAAAGACAGGTGCTCTCTTCATCTTACAAATAAGCCAGACTGCAAAATACAGTAGAATTTGGCCATCTCATTAGGTTGGCCATCACATGGCCAGGTAGGGCTGGGGCAAGACTTGGTACTTTGAGCAGGCTTTGGAAATTTTAGGGCAGAAATCCTCCAACAGGATGGCTCAGATCATTTAGGGATAGCTTGTGGTCCCTTGTGGCAGATATTCAGCTAGGGATATATCTTGTTGATTTTCAGTGGTCTACCACCTTTCAGAGACCGGCAAATCAGTAACTACAGTAATTTCATATATTTCCATAGCAGATGAACATAGCTATCTGTTATACCAGCAGTCTATTGAATTATAATATTTCAGTATGGTGCCCTCATATAACAGAGTGACTGGTAATGGTAGAACTACTGTTATTAATGCATACTTAGTTCTCCATTGAACAAATACTTTGCAAAATAAGTTTCTTGCTTTGACACTTGCTTTGACATGTATGGTTTCACACCACATACACTTCTACCAATAGAGGAGTTCTTCCCATGGAGCTTGGAAGATTATGTTTGCAGAGGGGTATATGTTTATCAATGCAGGCCAGGCAACTGAAAAACTCTATTACAAATACCTGACTGTATGCTGCCATATGCTAATAACCCAAATTTGGGTAACCGAGCTCCAATACACAGGTAAAGAAATAAAGCATGCATACTCCCCAAAATATTGCAGCAGACCCGGTACCTGAAAAGGACATATACACAGGAAATGATGTAGTTAAATTAGGGCTCAGATTAGCTACAAAACAGAGCATGATAAGCTACAAAACAGGGCAAGATTAGATACAAAACAAACCAGGACCAGCTACAAAACAGAGTGAATTGTTGTCCTGAAAGAACCACCCAAATTTTGTTTGAAAAAGTAATGAAAACTAGAAAACCACACTCACACCCTCAAGAACTAGCTCATGATGAAAGTCCGAGACACGACCACAACCTCCATGCACCTGGCCACAAAAAGGGTCAAAATATTGGGGCAACAATTTGCATCATATCCCACAAAAACTTAAAAAATCACCCGTAGTTGGCGCAGCTGTCACCTTACAAAACGCCCCGCAACTACACAGCGTCAATGGTAATCCTTATGGGGACAATGCGCTAAGCCATGCTCCACCCAGGGCAATACAACACCTCACCTTCACACCTTAGGGATCCCACTATCCGTTCGCTTCTAGCGGTGTTTGAAGCAAAGGCGTCAAGCTGGGCTCCTTTGAGTATTTTCGTTTCCAAGTCGATAGAGAATTTTTGCCTACAGACTTGTGAGGGCATTTCGTGGCATCCTGCTGCTCTAGAAATTTCCATAATTTTGTTGAGGACTCGGCGAACAGGCCGTATTGCGGTGCTGATTTCTTGGCTTTGGAGACAAATTTAGGGTGTGGGGGGGGGGGGAGGGACGATTGCTGAGTTGTGCGTGTAGGCGTAGCGTACTATTATAAAATACTATATCGTCGTGGCAAATGATGGAGTAGTTGGTTGCGTAGCTATGTAGCGCACTGCGATTTATTTTGAACCGTCCCCTGTTTGGGATCCACCCAAGTTTCTCGTACGGATGCTTAATCACAGCATCATGTGACTCTTGGTGGAAACATCGCACGTAGCTAAGTACGCTGTAAGCACCGCAAAAGCCATACTAACGGGTGCCAGCTGAGCCATCACGCTGAGTGTGGATAAGTAGTGTGCTAACGGCGGTGATATTGCCTCGCGTCGTAACCGCTCGCTTGTGCGGTACTCAGTGATAAGGTTGCAAAGGAGTCAAGTTCTATGTGCGTGATGTGAATACAAAATTAACGCCATCAGTATCCGTATCCTCCGAAGATCTCCGCACGCACGTTTTATTGGCAGTCTATATGTTGTCCTATGACCCTGAACCCTGACATTTCAGCTGCCCAATTGATTGGCCGGCCCCGAGGCGCCTAAATCCTGGGTTTACCGCCACCCGGCTCAACATTCGTTGGTCAATCTCGCATGAGGGAAGGAGCAACAGTCAGTGATGCCCGATTCGGGAGTGTGAAAACACGCAAAATATCGAATTGGCACGTTAAAAATATTGACAACCCACACCCGACTCAAGCTGGTCAGACATCGCCACACCGCCCAGCCTAAGTGACGCAGTGCGTTGTGAAGCTGGATGGTGTTGTCACTACCCCAGCCGTCGTGCGATGCATACGTGTTGCCTCGTTTTATCGAACCATCTGTATGTGCGGTCACACCGCGGAAATACGTGACTATGGTGAGTTGCACAAGTCGTGTTTAAACGTTGGATTAATCTTCCGCCCTTATATTGCATAAGAACGAATGCAGCTGCCTAGTAGGTCAGAATTTCTTAATGTGATTGCCCATATGCGGGTATATACGGTTGAACGACGATTATGAACCCGCGCAACACCATGGTACCTTACTGATGGATCACTGATAACGCAGGAAGAAAGTGAGACGTTGGTGGCTTTCGGTCTGGTCGTTGCGCTACCACCAATTCCAGCCACTTATGTCAGAAAGGAGAACTACCACGGAATGGAACTGAATCCCTTCAAGTTGGTGTGGGATTAAGCTTGAGCTTGGACTTCAGACGCGCGAGGAGCTGACGTCACTTGTGGCCGGGTGTCCAGCATGGGCACCGAACGATCTTAGGAATACCGACGCCTCCGCGCTGTCTTGATCGGCCCCTCGCGTTCAGTGTTAACCCCTCGTACTTGGTCTGTCTCGCCCTCGGTCTGGCCGCTCTCTCCCGCGGTAAGACCCAGAGAGAGCCCAAGAGACCATGACCTTTTCCACCGGCCCGGTGTGTCCCGCCTCCGCCCCCTTCGCGCTCACCTCCTCATTCAACAATATCACCAGCTACCACTATCATTTTGGTGCTTCTATTGTCAGACTATCGTTTCCTGTGAAGGAGCTAAGCCCAGTGACAACGCCTATGTGTTGCGTAATGTGTTCGATGAACGAAAGCTGCAGCATGCACTCCTGGAGGAGTTCGTATTATTCTTTTGTCAATAGCATTATGTCACTGCCCTCAATGCTGCTGACGGAGGAAAAGACCAATACCGCAATGCTGCATCTGTCTGCGGGATTACTTGCTGTTGTATTTTTGTGGACCAGTATGTAATGCTGGTTTTATACAACTTGCATCACAATATTGCGGTCGCTTTTTTGTAGTGGTAGCCTGTACACCAGTGTCCCGCTATGATGGATGTTGACTCCTCAAAGTGATTTGACGGGCCGAGTCATGGAAGTCGCCACAAGGGGACAGGTACGCACACCTTCTCGGATATAGTCCACTATGTTGCTGGCTCCCGATTATATATATATATATATATATATATATATATATATATGCATATATATACATATGCATATATATATACATATATATGTATATATACGTATATATATACGTATATATATATATATATATATATATATATATATATACACACAAGCTACGCTTGCTGCATATTTTTATCACATCATGTCCGTAGTCACAGCAATGGCATATGGAAGCCTAGTAGTTTGCATCATTTCCGTGCGAACGCACTTGTTTTGTGAAGCTTAATGGGTGCAGTTGTACCTTTCTCTTGCGCACTGAAAATTGAAATAAGAGCACAGTTCATCATTGGGTGCTTCCGTACATATATCATATATAGTCTGTTATGCG